CTTTGACAGCATCAGGATCCTTGGAGCCGCCCACTGGGGGCACTCGCACCGCTGCCGTCCCTCTGTCCCTGGCGGTCCTCCCAGCCTCCAGCCGTGGCCCCCGGAGCCAGGAGAGCCATCCTTCTGCAGACAGGCCAGATCGCTTTCTTACCAAAGTGCGTGTGCAGTGCCTCTGCCGAAGCGCCGCCCCTTCCTCCCCAGAAGCATCTTGACAGGCCCTCTCTGCTCGTCTCAGCTGAGGAACTGTGTCCTTTTGGAGCCTCTGGGCTCATGACTCAGGCCCCACCGTGGCCCTGCTCTCCGTTGCCACCGGCTTCCGGTCCTTCTCTTGGGGTACCGATTCTTAGGACAAAGCACTTAAAATGGAAGACGCTGTTGAAAACTAGGAAGAAGCTTCTGTCTCTTAGCATCTTCCATTGGCACTTATTTCCTTCACTTGAGCATATCAGGCCTTTCTGTCTTGCAATAATTGTCTCTAGACGCGAGAGACCGAGTAGCCACCGAACATCTCTGTTCAGCTGTGTGGTCTAGTGATGTGTCTACGAGATGGACAGTGAGAGTACTTACTTTTTGGCAGAGGAAAGCCCTAATTTCCGTGGTCTAATTGAATTATGATGATAACTTTCACTTTAAAGGAAATGTAGTGGTTTTACTTAGTCAGTGCCGTTACTACCGGCACAGCAAGTCCATCGAGTGCTGGGTGTTACGTGTCTTTGAGCGGGACTAGTCCTGTCCTGCTGTCAGCGCTGGGCTGGGAAGCCCCGTGTGAGCCCTGTGTCGTGGGCAGTGCCGTGGCCCCAAGTCTCCTCGTGGTAGCAGGGAGTTGGGCACGCAGCTGGCGTGGAGACCCCTGCAGCTCGGCCCTGCGTTCAGGGAGCCCAGGAGCGGGCACTGGGAGAAGGATCCAGAAAGGCGGTGGTGTGGGCTGAGCTGGGCTGTTGCCCTCGAGCGTGGCAGGAGCTGGAGGCTCCAGAGCGGCCACAGTGGTGGTCCCACACGACCTCCATGCCCTGTCCGGGTCCTCGGGCCACCCCCAGGCCCACTGTTTCTTGGGGTGGCTCCGAGCAGATTGAGGTTTTGGTAACTCATTCCTTGCCTGGAGGGCACGTCTCCCTGTGCTTCTCCCTCCTGGGTTTCTCCCTTGAGACCTCTCCCTGCCTCACCAGCTTCCCCGCCAGGCTGGTGGCGGTTGGCACCCCTGGAGCCCTAGCTCCTACCTTCCCTGCTGCTGACAGCTGGCTGCTGGTGGTCTCGGTCAGACACTTGCTGCACGTCAGTAACGGCACGGCCACCGCGTGGTTCCGTCGTGGTAGACCGTTCTCGGTGAGAACGGTGGTCACTGTTGGCCATTTCTGGGTCCCGTTGCCTGGGGGTTTCCTAGGGCATGTTTGTTGTGAGTTCCTCGTTCCTGCAGAAGAGTGCGTGTGTGAAGGATGATTTTCCTTATGTGTTCCTGTCCCCGGCACCCGGGAGTGGAGACACAGCAGACGCTGTAGGTCCGAGCCTCCCTCGTGCTGCTCGGCCGTGGCCCCCCGCTGCCTGCACTCCAGCGCATGGCCCTGCTCCCCGGCTGGCGCGGGGGCGTGTGTCCCTACACAGTCAGCCTCGGTGCCACCTGCCAGTGCGTCTCGGGTGCCCTCCACGCCTCTCTCAGTTCATTAGTGGGGCAGGTTACATTCGTTGATTTTCGTCCACTGACTCGATTCTGCATTCCCGGAGTGAATCCGTCTGGACCATATATCAGCTTTTCCAAAGATTGTTGGATTGAGTTTGCGGATCTTTTCCTTAGGGTTTTTACGTTTGCCTTCATGGGTCAGTTTGGCTGATACTCTGGGCATGATTTTTGTGTCAATTCTTGTTCTTTGTAGTTGAGTCAAATTTTCTATTTCTTCCTCAGTCTGTTTTGATAAATTGTGTTTTTCTTAGAACTTGCTCATTATACCTAAGTTTACAAAATTTTTGAAATAAAGCTCCTAATACCCTCTTACTATATTTTTAATGTGAGAATTTGGCACGATAATTCTGTCCCGGTGTCTCTTGTTGACTAACATACCCCCCCCCCCCCCCCCCCACAAAAACCCCCCCCTGGCTGGAACAACCACCGTTCGGTTTCACTGCTGACGTTGTGGGGCAGGGTGGACGCAGGGTGCAGCAGGGACGGTTCGTCTGTGCTCCTTGGGACTGGGACCTCCGCGGGGGCCCCTCGGGTGACTGGAAGTGGCCGTGTGTCTGCATCGCCAGTCCCCGCAGTCAGCATCTTGTCCATCCTGTCCCAGGAGGCTTCCTGAGCGACGTGGCGGGCACCTGCCTGGGGCGGACGCGGGCCCGTCCTCAGTGTAGACGCACAGCTGGGTGGGCTCAGCCGCAGAACCGGCTTCCTGCACGGAGAGTTCTCGGAGCCTGCAGCCCCAGAATTCACGGGCCCAGCACGCAGTGACCCCTCCACGTCCGCCCAACCCACCGTGGTGGGCCCAGAGCCTGCTGAGCCTCTCAGGGACACCTTGAAAGGACCACTCTGCTCCGTGGCAGGGGTGTCCCATCAGGGTGGGCACCCGGCTCTCCACTACCCCATTTCCAGGGCCTCCTCTCTCTTCTCTGTGTGTGGGATTACCTGGCCAGCGTCCGTCCCTGTGTGGGTGCTAGTCTGTGTGATTAATGCAGGTTTAATTTCTTCCTTTTCCCCCTCCCATTTTCTTTGGGCTTATTTTGCACTTATTTTGTTCTTCTGGGTTTATTTTTGTTCTGAGGTGGGGATTCATGATTTTCCCCCGTTTTCTAAAAGTGTGAGCGTTAGGCTACGCATTTCCCTCTGGTGTGCTGCCTTATCTGCGCACCACACGTTTCCACATGGAATCTCTTTGGTTTTTAGGTTTAAATATTTTCTGGTTTCTGCTGTGATTATTTCAACTGTGGATGCCTTAGAAGAACACTGCCTAACTCACAAACGCACGGAGGCCTCTCTATTATCTTTACACGGGATGCTGTGCGTGGCGTGGTGGGGGTCCGTGAGCTGACCCCCGCGCCCCGGGGCCCCGCTGTTCGCTAGGAGCATCCCCACACGTCCGTTTGGGACGCAGGCCTCCGTGTGCCTGCTCTGCAGTGTGTTCCTGGCGCTGCTCCCTGCTCTCTGTCAGCTGCCGTCCTCTACAGCCCCCGTGACCACAGCCCTCTCTGTCTTTGCCTCTCTTCTGTCACGCTCCTGCTGTGACTGTCACTGTCCCTGGGCCCAGCCCTCCACGTCTGTGACTCCATTCAGTCCTCGCGGTGCCAAATGCGGCACCGTCCTCCGCGTGACCGCCAGGACCTGGAGGCCGCCCCACTCCTGCAGCTGCGGAACCGGGCGACATCCCAAGGCCCCCCTCTTGCCGACTGAACCCACAGCTCTACAGTCCCCAGGGTGTGTGGCAGCTCCCACCACCTCATTCCTGTTTGTCCTGCCGACGCTTTGCAGTTGGCAGAAGCCATCCCCACGTGAGTCCAGCTCCCCCGGGGCAGCTGTGCTGGGCTGTCCTGGGCCTGGTCCCTCCGGCTGACATCAGGGCTCTGACTTCTGCCCTCACTCTGGGCCAGCGGGTCACAGCGTGGGCACTGGAACCGGCTTCTGTGAGCCGCAGCCGTGTACTTCCTGCTGGTTCCCTTCTCTGTGCCGCCGGTGGACCTTGGTGGGTGCGGTGACATCTGAATTCTGCCACACATCGTCCTTCCTTGGACTGTGGAGGTCTGGGTCCTGCTCTTTGTTCCTTGCTGCAGGGGCTCCCTGTGTCTCCTACACACCCTCCAGCCAGGGCAGGAGCTGCGGCCAGATTACTGAGCAGATGGGGGTGGCGTGGAGGACAGGGCGGGGGCACGGCACTGCCACTTCCTTTATTCTCCTCAGCCGGGTGTGGAGACAGGACCGGTGGGGCGCTAACGGCTCAGTGACCGTGTGCACAGACCTCCGTGCTCGGCCCCGACGCCTCTGTGCTGGACGGGACGAGCCCAGGCTGAGAGGCCATTGTCGTCAGTCACTGTTAGAGGGGGCGACAGCAGCACGGGACGTGGGGACCGTGTCTGAGGCCTGTCCTCGCAGACCTGCCGACATGTGTTACCGATGCACTGAGTCCCAGCTGAGAGATGTGGGGCTTGGAGACTGGTCACTTCTGACCCCAGAGGCCCCACAGCCAGGGCACGTGGCCCCACGAGGTTCGTGGTGACGGGACTAAATCTGCAGGTAGGGGCCCCTCCGCGTTCGGAGATGCACTTGTCTACGCTCGCTGCTGGTCTTCTGGACGCCCACTCGGGGACTTACTCACTCTTCCCTGTGGGTGCAGCTCTGCGCCGGGGAGGCCGCACTCTGGACTTTCCCCTCGTGGATATCGGTTCGTTTCTCTAAAAGAAAATGTCGACATTGCGTGTTTAGGCTTTGTCAGTATATAAGCATGTTGACGTGCTCCCTTTAATGAGCTGTGAGTTGAAAACACATCTGTGTCGAGAGGAAGTGGCGTGGCGACATTTCACACGCTCTGTCTGCAGACACACGCGTGGCCTGTGTCTTCCAAGCCCGGGTGGGGAGGGCAGGGGAGACCTGCGTCCGTGCGTTTCTGCTGTCTGTACGCATGCTTGGGTGCGTGCCACGTGTGTGCATGTGGCCTTTTATCTTCCCGAAGATGACGGGTGCCCAGGGGGTTTCCCCGGAGGCCTCCCTCCGCAGCTTGTGGGTTGGCACGTGCTTGCATCCGGACGCGGCCAGCGCGGGTGTGTGCACCTGCCTCTCGCGAGCGTCAGGGTGGAGGTGAGGCTCATGACTGTGCACCTGCTGTGGGAACGCGCAGAGGACACCAAAAATGACTCAAGCTTCTATTTAGAATAAGGACTTTTAATTAACAGTGTTTATTATTAGAATTCTCATCTGAAGTGTCGAGCAGGCGAAGTGATTGGGTCTTTCTCTTGCACAGAGTGAAGTCTCTCCAGCCGGGCATGGCGAGCTCCGGGAGTGACTGAAAGAGACGGGTCCCTTGGCCCCGCGTGCACCCGGGCCGCTCTGCCCAGGGTCCGAGCAAACACAGACGCTACACACATCTAAAGGTAAGGTACAAACTTGCAAAATCCTGCTGACGTCTGATGGACTAAAAAACACCTTTTGCTTGACGTGAACTGATGAATTAAGGCTATTTGCCTCTTCAAGTGTGTTTTCTTAGTAACTTCCAGCCCAGATTGCTGGGCTGGTCTTGTCATCCAGGGTCCAGACTCCTTGCAGGTCCCCGCGCGGCTCGGGGTCGGTGCGCTGCTGCCCCCCCGTGGCCGTGTGGCCAAGAGCGGCCCTGGCTTCCGGCTCCACTGGGTGCCGCCTTGCCTCCTGCCCAGCCCTGAGTTACACTTGCTGGAAGCTTTTCATTGTATGTTAGTTCCTTTGAGGTGATTAAAGGAAAATTTATTTAGTACTTACTTGTTTGGTAACTATTACGTGATTCAGCATCTGCTTTTGAGAGAAATTGAGGCAAATTTAAAGTCCTGATGACATTAATCCTAAGATTAATTTGCCGCTGTGGAGTGACTAATTCGAGGAAGTTGGTTTTCAACATCCAAGAGGACTTGTCGTGGGGAAGAAGCACGAGGAAGTCGTCCGTGGAGGGCCGCTGGACGCCCGTGCTGGCTCCCCCGTTCCGCAGAGGTTGACAGGCGGCCGGGGACTCGGGCGCCTGCCGCAGGGGCGGGCGCTGAGCTCACGGTGGGCAGGGGGTGCTCGCCGTCTCGGGGCAGGGCAGGTGCATCACGTCTGCTGGTCTTTTCAGAGTCCGATGTGTCGGGAGCGTGAGGCGACGAGCTCCCAGGGAGACCTGGAAGGGAAGGTTTGCTCTCTAACCGCAGGCCCCACCCCGCCCCTTCTGGCCCAAGAGCCCTGAGAGCGTGGAGGGGTGTAGTTCTGGTTATTTCCTTCTGCCGTGCCGGTGGGGGGCGCCTTCCGCCCCAGCTCTTCTGTTAGCCGATTAGTGGCATGAAATCAGCGTCCCTGTAGCTAGAGGGTGTGGACAGGTGGTGAGTGTCGCCGAGCGGCTGAGTCTGCGGGAAACACCGTCTGTCCGTGTCGCTGGGGGCCGTGCAGTTGGTGACAACCTGCATGTCGCGCCGAGGCAGCGAGCGCCGCAGTCTCTGTGCCCCGTAGCCAAACGGCAAGTGTTTCTGTCCCATGAAGTGTGCACTGGGGAAGTGAATTATTCGTGATCCTCCGTAGAAATAAATTGTCCTTAAAGGCATAGGAGCAATACCGAGGCCTGAAGGAGGGCTGCGGAGCACGTGCTGCAGAGTGAGGGGCCGAGCAGTGGCCAGCACAGCGACTCGGAGCCTCCTTCCACGGGCGCTCCTCCGTGGCTGTTCCAGCTGCAGAGCAGAGACGTCGTATTTCTCCCACAAAATGAAAGCTAATTTTGGCAACACGTAGTCTGATGTATGACACCTTTCCTTTTCCAGGGTGGTTTGGGAAGAAAAGTAAGCCCGAAAGCTTCTGGCCGGCCGGAGCCTTTGCCTGGGTGTGCTGCTGCCCAAGAGCCCACCAGGCCCTGCGGCTTCCCGAGAAGCCCGGGGGCCGGCGGCCCCGCAGCGCGCGGCTTCATTTAGCTCCACGTGTGCTCGCGGCTTTTGCTTCCTCGAAGAGATGGCGTTGTTTCTTGTATCTTCTTTTCTAAAAATTTTAGAAGATTTTATTTATTTATTTGGCAGAGAGAGCGCACAAGCAGGCAGGTGGGGTGCAGAGGGAGAGGGAGAAGCAGGCTTCCCGCTGAGCAGGGAGCCCGACCACGACCACGGGGGCTCGACCCCAGGACCCCGGGATCATGACCTGAGCTGCAGGCAGACGCTCGACTGACGGAGCCCCCCAGGCGCCCTGTTTCTTGTGTCTTACACGTGAGTGTCTGCCGCGGTTGGGGCAGCTGGGGTTGCGCCTGAGGACCCCTGCAGTGTCTCCCCGGGGGCTCCCCCACGAGAGGGGCCGGGGAGCCACGACGCTTGTGCTTCTCATCACCACCACACCCGGACACTTTTCTGGAACAAATATTTATGAACTCCCCCGTGGTACTCTGAGTGAGGATGACAGAAGGCGCTACTTTGTATCGTTCTCACCATACAATTTTAAACAGGCATGTAGTGCCCACACCTAGTAAAAGAGAAATTACGAGCGCATAATACAGGCCCCTTGAGTCATCCAGTACGCAGCACCCGGTACTCAGGTGCGGCCGCTGGCCGGGGACACCGAGGCGTGCCCTGTGGTGCTGGCACCCGCGGCTACTGGCTCACCTCCGGCTACGCTTGCAGCCCGGGGCAGTTCCAAAGGACGCTGGCCCGCTCTTCCCTGTCCCCATGTGGCAGTTCCGTGTTTGCACGGTCAGGTGTGCAAAGACCAGAGAAACGCCTTGTGCTTCCATGAAAGACCCAGTGGGGGTCTGGGCTGGGGGCTGGGTGCTGGGGGGCTGCCTTCCCCACCGCGTCAGTGTTTCCTTGCAGGAGGCTTCTCTGTTTCTGGGACTGTCCTGTGTGTCCCCGTGGCACCTTTGCCTGCAGAGCGCCAGAAGCACCCAGCACGGTGGTGAGCGGCCAGCAGGGAGGGTGTTCCCTAGGAGCCTTGGGCCCAGAGTCAGCAGCAGTACCAGGTGGTATCCTGGACGGCTGTCCCACGGGGCCTCCTGCGCTGTGTCTCCAGCTCACGGTGGAGGCGGCAGTGGGCTCCCGGGGAGCGAGTGACACGGGTGTCCACGTGACAGTAATCCAGGTGGCCTGTCCCACCAACGAGGGCTGTTGTGGTGAAGGTTAACGCTGCAGTGGCACCAAGCTTTAGATTTTTTTCTTTAAGATTTTGTACATTTATTTGACAGACAAAGATCACAAGTGGGCAGAGAGGCAGGGTGGGGGGGGGAGGCAGGCTCCCTGCTGAGCAGAGAGCCCAACCTGGTACTCGATCCCAGGACCCCAGGACCATGACCCCAGCCGAAGGCAGCGGCCCAACCCAGTGAGCTACCCAGGCGCCCCAAGCTTTGGATCTTTATGGATCATGGCAACAGCTCGACCTTTTTTCCTTTAAAGTGGTCTCGCAGTTGAGGAACTGTTGGGCACAGAAGACGCCTCCGTTTAGAAGCGTTCCTGAACTTTCCCGGACAGAGTCTGCCTGTGAATGAGCTGTGATTCTCTGTTTTTCTGGCATTGGTCACTGTCCCCGAGAAGGTGTCTCTGTGGGTCCAGCCTGGCTCACGGACCTTCGCCGGACAAGGTGTTGGTGTCTCTGTGGCACTGCGAGCTCAGACCCAGGGCAGCGGCTGCGGTGGGAGACGCGTCCCACCCAGAGTTCTGGCCTCGGGATGCTTTTCCAGCCGCGCCACCAGCGCTTGTGGGCTCTTGTGCGGTGGAACTGGGGAGCCGGAATGGACGCAGCCCGCTGGGGTGAAGTTCTGCATCGCCAGTCGCGGCCTCAGCTTGGATGGCCTGTGCGGGGCGCCATGGCCCGCCCTTGGCATGGGACGGGAGGCAGAGCTGCTTCCCCGGGGCGTGATGGCCCTGCAGATGGAGCCGAGCTTCCCGCGTCCGGGAAGGCCCGTGGGGAACCCGCGCCCCGGGGCAGGTGCTCCGGACAGAGGCTGGCGCGGCTGCCTGGTGCGGCGCGGTCCCGGGAGAGGCGGGGCGCTTGGTGGGCAACCGCCAGCCCTGCTCGGGCGCGTGAAGCTAGTGGGACGTTGCTTCGGCCGGTGGGAGGCGCCGTCGGACGCGCGGGCAGCGAGGCTCCTGGGCCCCCGAGAAGACCGAGGTTGGACGAGAGTGCCCGCAGAGGGCGGCACAGAGAGGTCCCTGCACACCCCGTCACCCCCCAGTTGTGCGCCCTTGTCTGTGTAGACAAGGGATCCCCGGGCGCCCCGGCCTCCGGTCCCGCCTTGCGGCCCCGTAGGACTGCATGGCGGCCTCGGCCTCTGCTCAGGGGTGTGGCCCCAGGCGCGTCCCTTGAGGTGTCTGCGGTCGAGGCATCTGGGGACGGGCATTCTGTTGCCGTGTCCCGAGTCACTGGGACCTCGTGATCGCCGTTTACAGGACACAGGCCAGCGGGGTCCAGCACAGGGGCTCCCGGGCCGCCACGTCCTCCGTCTGCGGCATCTTGCCGAGCTCGTGGGCCGCAGGCGGATCCCACTCGGTGCTTGGAGCCCGGCGGGTCCGAGGGAGCCCCGCTGTGGGCCCCCCCCCCCCCCCCCGTGTCCCTCCCCACCCCCTGCTCCGCATCCAGGTGGCGCGGCTGTGTCCTCTGCCTGCTGTAGCTGTCTTCTCCGGCCTTCGGGGCCGCCCCCCCGGGGCTTAGAGGCAGCTGAAGGGGGACCGTGATTTTGTCTCTAAAACCCCTTCCCCTTTGCTTTATATCGAAGTGTGGCCGTCACACCCGGGGCCCCACCCCTGTCAAGGGGAGGGGATTGTCCAGGGTGTAGATGGGGAGGGAGAGGGGTGAGGAGAGGAAAGGCGGGGAGGGGTGGGTCGCTGGTCCCACACAGAGTGTGGAGAGAAGTTGCTTTGCCTGCACCCGAGGGGGACGCGTACCTGGTGGAGTCGCGCCCCTGACAGGACGGATACCGGACACCTGGGGGACGGGAGCCTGACGCGCATGTACTGCCCGGGGCACGTGTCCCCAGCGGCGTGTGCCTGGTGGGTTGCCCAGTGGGCCGAGGCCCGGCTGTTCCAGGGTCCGACATGCAGAGCGGCCGGCGGGTCAGAGAGGCAGGGCCGCGCGGCGGAGTCGGGCGCGGGACACTCGCGGGTCTCCACGAAGATGCCGTCGGGGCGGCCGATGAGCCCGTAAGTCGCGCTCGTTCCCGGGGCGAGCAGGGCCGGCTTGCGGGAGTCGGAGCCCCGCGGCGGCTTGGGAAGGTGGGGAGGGCGGCAGCATCTGTCCGCACGGGCCGGCGGCGGCCTACAGGCGGCCACCGTGCGCCGGGACGCGGGGCAGGGGTCTGCGTGGGGGGGCGGGCCCGTGGCTCCGGGGGCGACCGAGCGAGCGGGCAGGGGCGGGACGCGCCAGCGACCGTCTGTGGACATGAGCCGGGGCCGCTGCTGGGGCCGCCGGG